CTTTGCACCCCATTTTGAAAAAGCTTTAATTTTGCACCCCATTTAACTTAAAATTCCTTTGACTTTGCACCCCATTTAGAAATTTTTCTTCACAAAATGGTAGGTGTTGGGGTGCAAAGTTAAAGTTTTTTGAAAATGGGGTGCAAAGTCCAATATCACCCAAAAAGTGGGGTGCAAAGTCAAATTCCCCCTAATCTTTATTACTGTTTTGTTTCATTGAGCAAGACACCATACTGGCCAAGGGGAGTCGTATATTACCTGTTTCGTCGCGCTTAATGGTCTCATTCAAAAATCACACTTTTTAGGTAATTGTTAAATAAAATAGTTTGAATGTAGTTTGATGATAGGTTTGAGTGAGTAGCGAGTACATTATAATATTATATTATATAATCATGTAATTGATGATAATGATGGTCGTTAATTAGTTCATAAAATTGAATGATAATTTTTATTTGAGACATCTAAAAAGTGAAGTTAAACCCTCCCAATGAGATGAAATTGTATGGTGAGATCGTTACACCTTGCGCATGATGAACATGTCTAAAGCAACATCGTTTTATTTATTACGGAGTAAAAAATAGGGTATATAACTCATATTCTACTCCGGCCATCTATTCATCTTCGCTGATATAGTGATATGTTTGTGAGTTTGTCCATTTTGATTATCTATTCATCTTTTTCGTCCAACTGTTTGTCAATCTAGAGCTCTTGTTGGCAGATATGTCCGACCATCTATTCTCTTCTTCTCAAGGCCATCTCCTTTCCCTTTTCTTTTCTTCTCTTCCCCATTAGTTCATAACGGATGTTGTATTAATTTAAAATAGAAATTCATATTTGTATTTGAAGGCTTGTAACTTTTGTTCAAACTTTATGACAGAAAGTTTCACTTTTTATAGTATACAACTTAAACTTAATGGGTAAGAATATTAATCGTTACATAACTGTTACACTCTTTTTTGCATTTTCTTGAATCGTGTTCAGTTCGTGACAACTACATTATAGGCAACTTTACTTAACAAGAGATGTGGAAGTATGAGGGGAGGTCTCACTCTCTATCAATTTGAATTAGATTAGGGGTGGGCAAACGGGTACTGGAACCGCGAGTCGGGCCAGGTAATACAGGTTCGAGCCGGGTTAGGATCAGGTCCTAATTTTAGAAAACTCAAAACAGTTCAGGGCGGGGCGGGGCGGGTTCTGAAAAACTTAGGAATCGAACGGGTCTTAAAATTTAAAAAAACGGGTACCCGGACCGGACCGTTTTAAAATATTACTTTAATAATTTCTATTATATTTAATACTAGTATACTATAATATACTAATAGTACACGAAAGTTGTTCATGTTCTTGTGTCTAGACAAAGGCTTCCAATTAAAGACACTTCTCAATCTATTAAAAATAGTTTCCAAATCGATATAATTAAACTCCTATATTATTTCCTCAATTCTTTATTCCAAATGCATCAAACTTTTTTCTTTAATACTTTTTGTCTACTCAATGAAATATGACATATTCATATAATTACCTTAATTTTACTTATACTAGGAGATTTAATAGTTTTAAATTGTTTTTATAGACAAATATGTATATGAACTAGTTTAAATTCTTATGAATTTATGGTGCTACGTACTTTTTAATTAGTTTATGAATGATGATCAACATTTTAATTAAGGTGATTGTGTGATGTTTAATTTATAGATTTGTGGTTCCGCATTTTGTTATCTAATTTAAAATGTTGTATTATACTTTTATTTGGATATTTTACAATATTATGGTTACTTTATAAACTATTTTATAAAGAACCGAGGACTCGAACCGAACCGGCCCGTTTCAAACGGGGCGAGTAAGGTCCGGTTCCTATTTCGAAACTTCGTATACCCGGACCAAACCTACCCGTTAAATGGAACCGGCGGTTCTTGAAAATTTACCAATTACCCGGACCGATCCGGACCGTGCCCACCCCTAAATTAGATAGTGATTAGAATGAAATTAATTCTCTCAAAAAATTGTTCGGCCATTTCAAGGGGGCCTCGGGGATGGTCTGCATCCCTCCTCCCTCCCCCTTAGGACTGGATTCGGGCCGGGTCGGGTCCGGGCGGGCCGCCGGTTTTGAATAGGTGGGACCGGGTAGCCACCGGGTCCTGTCCGAGCGAGGCCTCGAGTCAATTTTTTTTAATTAACCCCCCCCCCCCCACCCCCAACCTCCCAAACCACCCCAAATGGCCCAAAATACCCAGCCCAACCCGAAAAGTTAAAAAAATTGAAATAAAATTAAAAAGCCCGCACCGGGAACCCCCCGGGCCGGGCCTACCCGGACCGGTCACTGGCCGGTTCAGCACAATACTGGTCCCGGGCCGGTTCCGGGTTGGGCCACCCGGCCTGAGTCCAGGACTCCTCCTCCTCAATAATGAGATAAAACAATTTTAATTCTTGAAAGAAAATCACAAACCATTTGAAGAATCGTTAATCCAACATTGATATGGTTCTCAGATTTTTTTTTTGAAGAACTAATATCAGAGTCAATAATGCCATATCAATGAAATTCTTGTATGTAGTCAATTAATGATTAAGAAATAAAATTATATCTAACTATTACTGTATTTCGTCATTAAACTGCTAACAAATAAAAATATCAAACTAATAAATACTTCAAGGTAAATACGTAAACAAATTTTAACAATCTATAGAAAAGAAAACAATTATTAAGTAAAAAGCTCGATTGCACCTGCTCTCATACCACATATAACAATGAGTGTAACAGTTGTGAAACAATTTGTATCCTTACTCATTAAATTTTGTAATACTTCGTATAAAAATTGATCTTAAAGAGATCGAGTTTATTGATCAATCACCCAATTTTGAGTTTTCTAGTTAATAAAAGCAAATTTGGTTGCTTCTGCCTCATTTATTCTTGTAGAATTAGGCATTGCTTAGGCATGACAATGGATCGGGATGGAGTGTGTAGTGCAAGACTCGGACCAGACCCATGCAAATACTGGATGCACCCGAGCTTAATCTGCGAAGGTAGTATGCATATCATTTTACATAAAGTTATTAGAACTTGAATTTACATTTTTAACCTCCAAATAATTATAAAAACACTATTATAATAATACAAGGTCACAATGCAATACAAAGTGTCAAAATTTAAGGAAATAATATGTAGACTCTAATTGTTAATCTATTACTACGTATATTTATAAATGAATATATAAAATGTTCATTATAAAAAACAATGACATTAATGGTTCATCTAACTCAAATATAAATATTAATATAAGGGAAAATTGTCAAATAAGTCCATGTACTTTTACGAAAAAATGAATTGAATCCACCTTATAAACCATTAATGACAATTAATGGTTCATCTAGCATGTCCAACAAATTTACTCCTTATGATTTATTGTACATTTATCTGTATATTTGTAGTATACTTAGAACAAATTGTGTATACTTATGTATTTAAAGTAGCAGGTTAATACGGGGCGCGTCGATACGGGTCAATACTGTACTAATATTAAAAGTTGGACTTTTTTAACAACAATGTTTGATGTATCCACTCTTATATCCACCTCATTCCACCATGTCTGTGAAGATTTTATTTTGTCTTAGAACCCGATTCATAGACAATATTTTGTTTGTGCAAAATATTATCTGTGAATCGGGGTTCACAGACAAAAACAAAAACTTTCACAAACATATGTGGGTACAAATGTGAGTATAAGAGTGAGTACAAAGATCATTTTTATTTTTCAAAAGCCTGAACTTTTTTACTTCATATGCATTTATGGCTTATATGCAAATCAATAGCACTCATTTACAAGAGTTTTGCTAGGTGTACACAAAATGTGTACACCTTTTTTGTGCACTTGTCAGTCCTCACCAGACAAGTATGAGTTGTCGGTGACAGACAACTTGTCTGCTGGGGACAGACAAGTGTACAAAAAAGGTGTACACATTTTGTGTACACCACATATTTTTCCATTTATAAAGAATGTGGAGTACAAATTTAAAAATTTGCAATCTTTTTTAGAAGTCGGCTCAATCCAAATCGAAATCGAAATCCAAAGGCTAAAGGGTCAAATAGGTACATGAACTAACTTAAAGTGTTCAATTAGCCCCTTATATTGGAGGTTCTGTCCGGCCGTCGCCAATTGAGGCGGTTCCTGGTAGAATTTTTTGATGAAATTTTTTGAGCATCTTCTTCATTAAGTCTAGTTTACCCATACCAAATTTCAGCTAACAATTCAACCGGGAAGGTAGTCAAATGATTTTATGAAGATAACTGCGCAGTTAAACAGCGGAACACATTTCGAATAATCATTTGACTGCCTTCCCGGTTGAATTTTTAGCTGAAATTTGGTATGGGTAAACTAGACTTAATGAAGAAGATGCTCAAAAAATTTCATCAAAAAATTCCACCAGGAACCGCCCCAATTGACGACGGCCGGGCAGAACCTCCTATATAAGGAGCTAATTGAACAATTTAAATTAGTTCATGTACCTGTTTGACTATGGGTATATTCAGGGGCGGCTCGAGCGATTCGGAGGCGGAAAAACTTCACAAAAACTTCAATAAAATATATATAACAAACATAAAAGACGATGATAAATAAGATAAAATAAATGCAAAAACAACATGTATTACGAATTCCAAAACAATATAATTTCAAATGTAACATACATAAAATGCACTAAAAAGTGCACTTTTTAATACCCAATTCTTCTTGCCTTTTGAAGGGCAAAACTAGTAAGGATGTCACTACAATCAAGACTAGCTAACACCTTTTTTTTAAGGTGAAGAAAATATAGCAAATGTCGCCTGATAAATGAATTTATAGCAAGTCTATAAGCCTTCAAACAAAAGCCCACAATAGAGGGTTCATGCAGAATCGGAAGCCAAACACATCCCCCAGCAACACAATTTCAAGTGAATCACGAAATAAAAGAACAACGTTTTTTATTATTATTCTTCTGTTTCAAAGTAGACGAACACCGATAAGGTTGCTCTCAAGAAACAAGACCATCATTCAACGACAAAGAAGCCAGCTGATCAACAGTGTTGTTTGACTGCTGCTGAGAGACGTTCCTGAGCACATCCATTGCCTCTGTAACTTTGGCCTTGAGAGCTTCGGGGGACTCAAGCAGATGAAGAACCTCTATCTGATCCATTTCCAGAAGCATGCCAGTCACCTTGGCTGCTGCCACAGGCTCCAGCTGATCCACCAATGGGTATAAATTCTCACCCAACATCGTTCTTTGATCGGCAGGAGAAGCATTAGCAAGAGCAGTGGCTAAAGCACCAATTGGTGGTGGTTGAGCCAACCCTGAATTGCGAATAGGAAGAGCACCCATATCATAAGGGACAGAGAACATGCCTCCAACTACACCAGGGATAGAAACATCAGAAATACCACCACGGCCAGCTGCTGAGTAACGATATCCACCACGTCCTCTATGAATCATCTGCTGCTGCATCAGTGGACCTGGTTGCTGCCCCTGTTGTTGCATCAGTGGACCCGGCCCTCCACGTCTGCCTGAAGGACGCTGACCTTGCTGACCTTGTTGAACAAGCGGCATAAAGAAATTTGGCATGTGCCCCCCAGCAGGCCTCATACCAGGGACAAGCTGCTGCTGATACCCAAAACCAGGTTGTGGAGTAAGGAGAGGCGGTGGCTGGCCATAAAATATTTGTTGTCCTAAACCTGGGGGACCCTGGGGATACATGGGCATACGAGTACCAACTGAAGGTGCAATTGCAATCGGGCGTATCTGAGAAAACTGAGCCTGTAATCGTGCACGTCTATCTTCTTTTCGTTGTGCAAGGGCAACATACAAAGGTTTGCCATTGATCATCTGACTATTCATCTCGGCCAACGCTTTAGATGCATCATCAGCAGTTGAAAATGCAACAAAAGTTGATCCCTTGCTAACACCATTAGGATCCCGCATTACCTTGCATGAAGTAATTGTGCCAAATGGAGAGAATAATTCCTTGAGTTTCTCATCACCAATAGTATCATCTAGGTTTTTTATATAGAGATTGGAACATTGTGATTTGTCGACTGCCTCCTTTGTAGTCTGTTCAAAACGGTGTTTCAATTCAACCTCTCTGTCAGATTTCTTCTGAGCTCTTCCAACAAACCACTCTTTATTATCACATTTGTGGCCATTAAGCACTTCCACTGACTAGCTAACACCTTTTTTTCAATAGATAACATAGCCAATCCACTTAATCTATCATCTTACATGGTAGATCGTAGATAATTTTTTATGCATATCAACTTCAATTTTGAAAAGCTTCTCTCCGTTGTGGCTACTGTAACCGGTATTGTCAACAAAATTCTGTAAGCAACCCAAGCATTTGGGAAAGAAATATGCATATCTTTTATATACTCCAATTCTCCAAAACTTGAGTCACTTTTGTCGTGGCTTCTAGCAATGAATTTTTCTAAGCAATTGTAGTTCCGAGAGCAAGTCCACCGCACTAAAACTAAAGAAAGTCACAACTCATAAAGGCTAGAAAAGTAAAATTGTAGAAAGTACCAAAACTGAGGGGGTGTCCTGGATTATGAGTTTGATGGATTTTAAATGGCCATTGATTTTGAAATCTGAGGGGAATTTACAAGATTGTGGTGGATTGTTTTTGTATGTAGAATTCCATCAAAATCCATTAAAATCCATCCAATGTGTAACAATAGAAATCCATGGAATGTTTGAGGACACCCTTATTTTCATGGACTCCACAGAAATCCAAATCGGGGACACCTGGATTCTGATGGAATTCTAAACTCCATTAAAATCCTCCAGAATCCGAATCCGGGACACCCCTTTAAATCTAGAAAGCCAGGAAGCTGTAACAAATACGTAGTAAAGAGTAAATACAATTACTCAATTAGACAAACTACAGACTTGTCAGATTAATAAAGAAGTAAAGAAAACATTAGTTTAATTAAGCCCTCTTCCATAAAAAAATCCTTTTTTCAGATGCTATTTCATGTAGTATCTCAAAAAGGATCTTTTAATTTTTGAAAAGCTCTTGAAATTTGTCATAACACTTAGGCTATGTTTGGCAGGCATAAGTCTCTGCCTTCGCGTTTTTGTACTGTTCGAAAAGTCTCTAAAAGCTTCTAGTTATATGTTTGACTTGACAATTTTTAAGAGCTTTTAAGAAATTAAAAGATCTTTTTAAAGATGTTACAGGAAGTAGCGACTGAAAAAAGCCCATGATTTTTATTACTACTTATTGATTAGTCTAACAGCTTGTATACCAAATCGAACTAAATCAAACAGTTAACTTTTTATCAAACAGCTACCACTTTTTTCTTTTAAGAACATTTCAGTCATCAAAAGCTAACAGTTATTTAAAAAATCTCACAAAAGTATCTTTTCAGCTAGTTGTTCCAACTTTCAAACATATCTATAATTAGAAGATTTTAGAGACTTTTTTGAAGAGTATAAATTAGAAAAGGCACAGACGGTCGAAAGGGACTCTGTTCCCGTCCAAAAATCTGATCCTAAAAAAGTCAGAGAACAACCTGCGTGCTTCATCTCCGCGAAACAACGGAATAACAAACTCCGTATCTTTTTTCTTCTTTCACCGGCGTTTTATTTATCTGCGCGGCTGCGTTTTTTTCTTCGTCTGGGCGACGGCTGCACCAACGGCCACCGCACGCCGCTAGAAAAACTTCCCACTAACGACCGCGGCTCCGCTCTCAACAATTCAGGTAAAAGAAATAAATACGTTCTCAATTTTTAATTAACTAGCAATAACTATGTAAATCTTTAGCTTGCACGTTTGCCCTAATTCATTAGTGTGGGAATTCACGATATATCGTTTTTCTTCTTCTTTTTTTGCATAGCTACTCCAAATAAAGTTCATTCCAGTTTTATCGTTTGGGAAATAAGGAATCTTAGTGTGGGAAATAGATGTGCACAATTAGTTCTGGAATTGTATTTTAGTGTGCATTGCCGATCCAGAGAGCTAAAAGATCATCTTCACCATGGGTATGGCACGGCGTAAATTGGTCTTAAATTTTTTGATGATCTAGTCTGGGCCAGGTAGATGTCCGTTCTACTTCTATTTTGTAAATGTCGAAATCTGCCCTATTTAAGTCCAATTCAGTCTGGATTGAAACCAGTCCAATTAAAAACATCCTTATTTTAGGAGTGTACTATTCTTGTGATTAATGGGTTAGATTTTGGAAGTCTATTAATATTAAAAGTCTGGGTTAATTGAATATTGATCTGTATTCTGTAAAAGTCAATTACATTCTAGGTGTATTCAATTACAACTTTATGCGTATAAAAAGTAAATTACATTCTAGGTGTATTCAATGACTCACTAAATAATAAAATTTTTGTGTGTTCAGTTATTGTTTATTTTTAAGTTTGGGAATATTGAATATCGAATCATTTACATTCTTGGTGTATTCAATTATAACTTCAAGCGTGTAATCAGTAAATTACATTCTAGGTGAATTCAATTACATTCTAGGTGTAATCAGTTATTGTTTAATTTTACTTGTTGAAAAGAAGCTTGAATCATTTGTGTCAGCACAAAAACCTTCATTGAGGGTTTTAAGGGTAAGAAGCAGAACTCAGTTTAGATCTTGTTGTTGTTTTCATACCAGGAATTCAGGTCAAAGTTGAAAGAGTATGCTTTCCAAGTTAAAGTTCATCCCCCGTGATCAACTAGATGAGGTAAATCTCATTCTTTCTAAATTTGTGCTATCCAAAGTAAACTAAGCTGTAAGCGCTTGTGCTAATTGTGATATTGGTAGTATATAAGCTCATTTTATTTAATTTGTGCACATGCGTTTAGATTAATCTAATTTTGCTAATTGTATTGTGTTAATTTGGTGTCAGGAAAAGAATAAGAACTCAGATAATTCTCAAAAGCACAGGAAAAGATCTGGTCATAAAAGGACGAAGCATAGAAAAAATAAGAGGTCTCACTATGACAGTTCAGATGATGAAGTAGTAAAAATATCATCTGGGAAAAAGAAGTGGAATGACTCTGATGAGGGGTTTTCCTCAGGTTCAGATCATAGTGATAGTGATTCAGATATTTGTGAGAAAAAGAAAAGGCACACTAGTAGAAAGAAAAGCCAGAAAAGAAAGCACCGAAGTAGCAGCTCAAATGATGAAGTCAGACACTCTACCAAAACTAAAGAAAGAACTCGAAGAAAAGATGTTTCATCCGATGGTTCTTCATCTGATGATACTGATGGCAGTGGTGGCAAACCGTATAATGAGGGTGTTAGGAAAGAAATTGGAATGGAATGGATGCTTAGGCCGGTAGAAAGTGCAGAGAGGGCTCCAAAAATTGATGACATTCAATTAGATGAAGCTCAAGCCCAAGCTCAAGCTCACGCTGAGGAGGTATGTTTCTAGTACATGCTGTTCTGCCCACTTAGATTGCTCATTTTGAAGATATCAATTGTATCAAATCATAATCGCAATTGAACTAGGTTTGAGTGTTTGACTGTCGTAATGATTCATTGAGTCTAATTTACAATGAGCAGTTGAGCATCACCATCACTTCAAGGTTTGAATTAATTTCAAAGGTTCACATGCCTTTTACGTGCTAATCTTCTGTAAAGGCATGAAAATTGCATCTTTTCTATGCCCATCTGCCCCAAATTGGGACAATGCCCGTCTGGAAGATATGCTACTTCTAAAATTATATTCCGTATGAATTATATGTGAATAATGTGATGATTATTTCCTTGTGTGCAGTTGGATTAACATATTTTATCTTCTGATTTAGACCCGAAAAGTAAATCCACGAGAACTAAATCCGTATCTGAAGGATAATGGAAGTGGTTATCCTGAAGATTCAGAAGGAACGAAGGCCGGTGTTGAACAACTTCTGTCTTCAGTAGTTGTTGGTGATGGAGGTGCAAGCTGGAGGCTGAAATCTTTAAAGCGAGCTCAAGAACAAGCAGCACGTGAAGGGCGAAAGCTGGATGAGGTAGATACGGGTTTAATGCACCAAACCCCCATGTGATTTGGAAATTCGGCGCATTAGCCCCCTATGATTTTAAAAAATGCGTCAAACCCCCCTGTGTTTTAATTAATCATGCGCCAAATCCCTTATGTGAACAAGTTCAATTGTCAAATAAAAGAAAAATGATTAACATTTTTGTATGATTCAGAGATTTTGACATATTTATTTGCATATTCAATCAAAATATTAGGCAAAGTGATTTTCAAATCGTTAAATTTATTCATAAAGGGGGTTTTGCGCATGATTAATTAAAACACAAGGGGGTTTGACGCATTTTTTAAATCACAGAGGACTAATGCGCCGAATTTCCAAATCACAGGGGGGTTTGGTGCATTAAACCCGGTAGATACGCATGAACTGCTGATGTCATTATTGTTTAGTAGTGTCATGTATCCAAATAATAATGCAGCAGGTGTGATCTTAACAGATAGTTGAAGAGCGGTGGGGCTCACTTAGTCAACTGGCTGTTTCAGTTGCATCCTGTAAAGCTGCCCCCACCCATGCTCATCTTCATGCCATCAAAAGTAGGAGGCAAGGCTCAACAGAGAGTGAAATTGCAGACAGACATGAAAAAGGATCTGCTGAGAAGGTAATCTTTTAGCACAACTACTTTGTTCTATATAGCATTTTATAATTAGACCACAAAAGTGATCTTTTTACCTTCTTAGTTCCATACTTTATATCTCCCTAATTGTTTTATTTCTTGTGCCATGTTGCATATAAGTTTATTTCTTAAACCATAAGCTTTTGGTTCATTTGGATTGTTCTTTTTGCAAATCCTAACCAAACATTTGTTCTGTTAATTCGTTCTTGTGTCTTCACTAGACCATTAGTGTCTGTTTAGTATTTATAATGATTTAGTGGAGAATATTTTTCTTCTGAGTTTCTATGATTTTTTTACGTAAAAGAAAGTAGTTTTTATTTATATATTTTCAATGGTGTATCGGAAGTGCTAGAGAAAGGGAAAAGGTCTTATTATGTTATTAGGTGTTTTTTTATTTACCACATATTTGGGTGACAGATGCTTGCTTTTATATCTTACAAAAGTTTCTTACAGGAACCACCTCCTTGCAACCCCAAAATGAGAGTACCGAAACTTAAAGATTCATTATCTTGGGGCAAGCAGAAAAAGCAGAATATGTCGAGCAAGGATGCTGATATTATTTCTTCTGCAATATCCAACTCAAATAAATTTGCCAATGATGGAAGTTTCATGTCTAAATTTATGCATCCAAAAAGTGATGGTTTTGGCAATGTTTGCGATTCATCAAATCCAATGTCAGAAACATTTAATGAGTTGACACATCTGGAGTCTACAAATGGCAGCAAAGATGTCTCCGATGTGAAGCCTGCCTTGAGTGCAAATCAGCTGGCCGCCAAGGTGATGCAATTGCGCATGAAGGGATTGCACAATGAAGCAGACAAACTCATGGTGAGAAAAGTTCCCTTTTTAATACTCATGTGTGCATAGATACATGTGTGATAGTTTGTTGGGCTGCACTAGGTTAGGAAATCTCAAGCTTTGTGTGATACCTATGAAAAGGATCATGTTTATTTCTGGTTCAAAAAAGAAATTTCACCCTAAAATAACAACATCAAGCACATCTCATTTCTTTTCTACACAACGCGATTGAAAGTCATTGAGGAAACTGTTACAGGCGTGGTAGGGATATGAAAAGAAGAACAATTAAATCAATAAATATGAAGAACTTTTCCGCCCTAAGCAAGAGAAGCTGGCGTCCGACCTGACTTGGATTAACTCCAAAAATATTGATCATATTATTAACGAGAGAATATCTATTTATACTAGTTCCAGCAGTCGTATTAGACCAGTATTAGAGGAAACCCAAAGCTATTACAATACTGCTATTAGCAATATTAGCTAAACTACAATAAGTATAAGTGTATAAGTGTATAACAATAGGAAACCAGTACTACTGATAATAATAGGAAACTTGTATTAGTAATAATAACAAAAATAATAATATTAAAATAATAGTATAAGAGTTATTGGCTGCAGTAAGGAGATGGTTTATAGTGCTGATCTTCCGGGTCTACAATTTCTATGTAAAACAAATGTTTGCAGTGATGTTGGCCTCGGATCCATTGTTCGTCACAATTATAACATAAACCTTTAGCTTGTCATGCAGCCGTGTCAGCACGGGATAATATTTTCCATACGGGGATAAAAATCCGGCTTAGAGGAGTAATCTCAGCCCTAGCAAGTTTCTTTGTGACGGAATCAAGATTTTGAATGGAGGAAGTAAAAGCCTGTGTTGAAGTAGGAGAAACAAAGGAAGCAAGTTTCCTTCTAGCAGCAGTCAGGCTCCTCATAGTAGTTGCAAGAGCCTTCATTGTTTCAGAAGTTGAGACATTCAATTCTAGTATATTTTTACACAAACGTTCTTGGCCACACGTTTACTGATTTGCACCATGTTGAAATATTTTCTAAAATGTAGTGTTATCGTCCATCATTGTTGTTTATCCTGCTAGAAGAAATGGAGGCACAAGATCATGTTATTTTGTTACAACTCACACAAATAAAAATTAGCAAAACTATAAACCCAAGCTGCGATCACTTAACAGCCAAATACGGCAATTATAAACTCTTGACAACCCAAATTATACTTATTTGTATAATTGTATTATTACTGTTGGCGAGTGGAAACATTGCATGGACTTGACAGCTTTTTATGATCTTTTGAATCCGCAACCCTTTTTTGGCTGAACTCCGTTATCTGATTGCTGGTCAATTTTTTCTGTTATTTTATTGCGAACGGCAGAAAAAAATACAAAGAAGGTTCAGTAGGGAAAGAGATACAAGGGAGGAAGGAAATGGCTTTGGTACCAAATTGTTATGGGCGTGGTAGGGAGATGAAAGAGCAATTAAATCATTAAATATGAAGAGCTTCTCCGCCTTAGACAAGAGAAGTTGTCGTCCGACCTTGTCTAGACTCGAATTAATTCCAAAAATATTGATCATATTATTAATGAGTATAGCACATCTATTTATACTAGTTCCAACAGTCCCGCTAGACCAATATTAATTGAAGGAAGCCTAAACCTATCATATTACTTTTATTAGGAATATTAACTAAACTAGAATTTGTATACCAAATAGGAATCTAGTAATAGTAATAGTAATAATAGTAACAGCAACAACAACAATAATAACAGTAATAATAATAATAATAAAATTAATATTAATGATATAATAATATAAGAGAGCTCATATCAGAAACATCAATATTTACTACAACCAAGCCTACTTTATTCCACCATAAAAAATTGAACCATTCTCTGAATGGACAATGTCTATCTCTACATTAGCTGCATTTGATGTTCCTTGCACTCGACTTTCTCAGTGCAACATCTTTACTTTAGTTACCCGTAATAATGCTCAGAAACTCTTTAAGTTCTGTGCCAATTGTCATTAACGATAACTCCATAATATATACTATCTACTGAACAAGTTCTTATTAATGCATGGAATTCTTACTATACTGTTTATTGTTCTATTTCTGATAACTATTCTGATTATTTTCTGCATAGTCAATTATCTCATGTTTTTTCAACAGAAAGAAGCAGAAGAAATGAAAGCAAAGCAAGCCGCTTGTGATGGTAAAGGTGACACATCCAGCAGATATCAGATTGATGGGAGCACAAGCAGGTATTGCATCTGCTGAATCCATTTATAAACTATGGGAATAGCTGTAAAGTTACACTGTGGGTTGCTCACACGCTACTGTAAAAACCAGTCTTAACCTTAGTTCTATGTGTATAAATACAAGATGCATGCCTACTTTGGAAAAACAAAATGATACAATTATACTCTTTTATAATAAAACATCTTTATGTGTGGGTGTAAACATGGACATGAGCTCTGATGCACCCTCACCTAACAAGTTACCAATTTTCATGTTTTGTACTATAGGTATATTATGCATGAACATTCCAGTCTACAGAAGAAGAAAGAGGATGATGCTGACCTTCATTTGGCTCACAAGATTGCGCGACAGCAACAGTATAGTTTATCTAGTCGGGCAGATGATGAATATGACTATGATGACGGTCCCGCGAAAAAGGCTCGGAGGAGAGGAGTAGCAGGGACCAATGGCAAATCTGGGGAGATAACTAATATTGCAAAGCGCATTGTGACTCAACAGGAGCGCTGTCAATTCTGCTTTGAGAACCCTAAAAGACCAAAGCATTTGGTTGTCTCCATTGCAAATTTCACATACTTAACATTACCCCAGTGGCAGCCCATTGTCCCAGGTCATTGTTGCATTTCAACTTTGCAGGTAAACATTATGTTCAACATATTTTATGCATTTTCTACATTATCGAACTTAGTTGCTAGAGTGATATACTACCCCCCCCCCCCTGTGATTGTGGATCTTTAAATTCTTGAAGTCTTTAGTTCTACATATGTTGTCAGTCCCAGTTGACAACATATGTTCCTTTTATATTTTTGTACTAATTCCCAGTTGTTTTTGCTAGCCTATAAGCAACTTGTTAGTTTTTCCCATTGCTTTGCTGTTGTTATACACAATGTTGATTCTTTTTCAACTTAAACAGCACGAATCAGCAACAAGATCCGTTGACAATAACGTGTGGGAGGAAATTCGAAACTTCAAGAAATGTCTGATCATGATGTTTGCACAGCAAGAAAAGGACACAGTGTTCCTTGAAACTGTAATGGGGCTAGCAAGGCAAAGACGTCACTGTTTAGTTGAGTGCATTCCTGTTCCACGCGATGTTGCAAAGCAAGCACCTCTCTATTTCAAGAAGGTTTTGCTCTATTCTTCACATATATTATGCTCTTTACCTTCCATTTAGATGTTAGGTTTTGGAGGAAAAATTAACATAAGAAGACTATGTGGCTATATCATGATATTTATTTGAAGTTCGGGAAATGGAACAAATATACCCTTGTATTATATGTGTGAGTACATATATATCCTAATTCTATTATTTGGAACAAAAATCTTTCAAAATGAAATATTTGGTCTAAAACTACCCTTCCCTAACGGTTCAATAAAACTGTTTACATATCCGGTCAATTCACCAAAGGCTTCTTTAGCTTCTTTAATCTGGACTCCACCACTTCATAGCAATACCAGAGAAACAAAGCGACGATAAAAAATGACAGAAGTGAAGCAGTGACTCGAAACGAACTCTTCGTTTTATGTGTGGATCAAATATTCTAATTTGGAGCGAGTGAATATCTTCTAAATTAGGGTTGGCTATTTTAAGTTAGGGCTCGTATTTGCTAATGCTCATATCATCTATACACAAATTCAAAGCACCTTACTATACATGAATTAAAATTAAGAAGTGTGAAAACATATTTATTTATAAATTAAAGAAATATTATTTCCGTTTCAATATTGTTCGTGTGTTGCCGGATTCTTTAAAAAAACATGGCATATGGTCCTGAATCAGCAAGAATCGTGCCTGACTGATAGTGAATTTCTTTATTTAGCCTTGTGGCCTGGGTGATCTGCATGAGCTAATCGCTAGCTCTACTGGACAGAAGCCAGGATGAAGAAAACATTTAAACAGGGGAGCTTTAATCAGCTAATCGTTAGCTCTACTGGACAGAAGCCAGGATGAAGAAAACATTTAAACAGGGGAGCTTTAATCAGGCTGCTGCTATACGGTAGAGAAGAAAGGAGGACACCCAACTAACGGGAGTAATTTCGGATCTGACGAAAGTTTAAAAACGCTAGAGAGAGTATATTTGTACCCAAACCTCACTTTTATCATTTTTTTGTTCCAAAAAATAAAATAAGGGTATATATGTTCCTATCCTAATAGTGCAGGGGTATATATGTTCCTTTTCCCTTTGAAGTTCTGTTAAGATTGCTTGCTGGATCATAAGAACGCAGACTTGTGATTGGAAAAGGGGCAAGCAATCTAGATATTATGTTATAAATATAATACTTACTGCATTATTATTTGAAAAGTAATATAGCTGAAAGAAAAAGACAATCTTTTATGGGGTTGGAAGGTACATTATTACCCCTCAGGTTTGAACTTTGTGCATTTCCTTGGATGGTTTGAACTTCTAGTTTGAACTTTGAAGTTATCTTGTTTAACCATCCGACAAATCACTGCAGGCAATTGATGAAGCGGAAGATGAATGGAGTCAGCACAATGCAAAGAAGCTTATTGACACAAGCATAAAAGGTTTGCGGGCTTCTATCCCCAAGGATTTTCCTTACTTTCACGTCGAATTTGGTCTAGATCGGGGATTTGTCCACGTTATTGATAATGAAAAAGAGTTCAGAAGCAATTTTGGGTTGAATGTGGTAAGAGGCATGCTGAAGTTGGCTGCAGAAGACATGCATCGAAATAGGAAGCAAGATTCTGTGGAGACACAAATGCACGCTGTTGCAAACTTTGCCCGTGATTGGGAGCCTTTCGATTGGACAAGCCAACTCCACTAGGTTGTATTTTTATTTTTATTTTACACTTTGGATGTGGTGCCTTTCAGGCAAGACGAAATTTGGAGTCTCAATATAGCATTTATGTTCTTTCTATATGACATGTCTACAAAATAATTTTGCACCCCTTGTTTTGCTGTGATATCCCCTCATGTTTAAAACTTCATACCTAGTAATTATGTCATTTATTATACTTTCAGCCGTCTATTCACAGGTCCATATAATTTTAGAAAAGTTAGAGGTCGTCCCGTGAGTCCGTGACACATCACCTATCCTCTTCTACCCGTTTTTTGTCTCGGACCAATTCATATCATAGTATCATACCATATCAAACTTGAATAATTATAAAATATACAGGATATTTACCCGATCGGTTCAGATCAGATCAACAAAATTCAATCCAAGTAAAAACATCATAGTTTTATAAATTGTTAGTTTTACAAATGATGATACTATTTCAACACATCTGTCACTGACTCACTGGTATATGCTGTTAACTGTTTTTTGTTCGTATTTAATACTTCGTAGTGTTTATCTAGTTCGTAAGAATGGCCGTGTACTCGGGTAGAGGAGTTGAACACTTCATTGCTGCCCTTTTTACAGTTCAGACCAGAACGGCCCAATCCTTTTCTTATTTTAAATAGGGCTGGAATCTATCGATTCACATGTCATTAGAATAGAGAGGCTAACACTGGGATCGGAAATGGATTGGAACTGACCTGGAATTGGAATTGGTTAAGCTAACTAAGATTCTAGTTTTGAACAGATTCGACTCCTTAATGTAAGATTCTGAATTCTGGAATTTATGCTCCCATAGCATTGTTCTCAATATTTTATAGGAATTATAGGAAATGTGTGGTAATTAATCAAACAAATCTTATGTGTGTAATGTTTGGTTGGAGATAAACTAATGGAGAAAAGCCCGTGACTTTTAGTACTAATTAGTCCTAACAACTTGTATATCAAACCGAACTAAATCTAACAGTCAATTTTTGATCAAATAGCTACCACATTTTTTTTAAGATCTTTTCACTCACTAAAAAGTTAACAGTTATTAAAAAGTTCATAAAAGTATCTTTTCAGTTAATTGTGTCAAACATACCCTATGTTTTGTACCACAAATATGTGAAGTTGATATTAAGTAATACCAATGATAATAACGATCTAAAAAATGGTAACTAAAGGTAAAAGCAAACATAGTTTAAAAGGTGAAAGGAGATATGAAATACATAGATAATTATATACTACCTCCGTCCAAAAAAACTTTGTCATTTTCAAAACTTTGACCAACTATATCTTTTTATTGGAAATGATTTATAATATAAAAGTTCTATGAAAATGTTCTTTGTTTAAAATACTTTCATAAAAGTATAAAAGTTATAACTTTCATAAAATTACACTAATCAAAATCGAGGTTCAAATTTTTTGAAATGACGAAGTTTTTTGGGACGGAGGTAGTACTTAGTACGGAGTATGATTTTTCCTTATTGGATCAACGCATGGTCATTTTGAGGAATTAAAAATATATTTGGAATATAAATGATTTTCTTTGAAAAAAAATATAAGACTTGAATGACATGTGATGAAAAAATATATAAAAGTAATTAAAGTATTAAAGAAACAACCGCTAAAATCAAGATAATGATTATAAATTCTATTTCAATATTCCTCCGTATGTTTTATATTTACATATACCATAGTATAAGGTACTCATATAGATAATATGGTCTTTGGGTAAATGAGCAACATAGAAAAAATGTAAAAGTATGAGAAAATAAATTCATATAGTCTATATAAATTCATATAGACTTGATTTAAAAACAAAACAAATTCTACATCATGCATCATCAGACTTTGAAGGTTGTTAACAAGTCATTAGAAGTTTAAATTAATGTGACTGGTTTTCTAGACATATTTAAATTATATTTTAATGAGTAAATATATTTATCTAATGATTTTATCATAGCAAAAGTGCTTATTTCTCCTTTTTTTTCCACTTTAGAACTGGTTAGAAATGATCTGTTTAGAATCGGATGAAGAGTTGAAGACGGGTTGGCACGAATTGGAACCGGGACAATAATGACAACCCGATAGAAATCACGACTATGACATTTTATTGAGTAAATAGATTTATGTAATGATTTAATCAATAAGAAAAGTGGTATTTCTTTTTCTTTTTTTCACTTTATAAATAATCCGTTTTAGAACCAGATGAAGATTCGAAGACGGGTGGGTTCGATTTGGAACCGGGACAGTAATGACAGCCTGATAGAAATCACAAGTATGACAAAAAGGTGCAACAAGTGGGTAAATGACCCGACCCGTAAGTCCACAACCACCACCGCCAACGGTTAGCTTTTGGATCTCTGAGCGAGACTGCTCTTCTGAGTAACTGATTGCCATTTCCTCCCTGAAGCTCACCAAACGACGACGTCGACTCCCCACCTCACCTCACTGCCATTCATCTTCATTGCTTCAGATCTCCTCAATCTCTCTCTTCTATAACAAACACTCCCCTTCTCTTCTCTTTTCGCCTGCATATCTTGCGCGTATACGTAATAACTACGCGTTGCCGCTTTTGAAACTGTTCGTGAATCGGTGGGGATCCAAATGCGCGTTCTGTGTTCGGATTCTTCGCTGATTTGATTCCAATTCACGCAACATTTTACGGTTTTGGTTCTACGGGAGTTGAACATGGCAGCGGCTTCTAGCCCCGTGACGCCTGGACAGGTTCTTTCCTTATTCCATAGCGCAATACTGCTTTGATGATTAGGCATGTGTGGTCAAAATATATAAAATTGCTGAGATTTTGCTTGGAATCTATCTGCATCTGCTAGGGGGGGGGGGGGGTCTGGATGTCCAAGGTAAACCAAAGTAAATCTGAGCGAGATAAAGAAAAGTTGATCACAGAGCATCGCGAGCTTCTTTGATGCAACCCGAGTGTTTAAGTAGATCCTTGCTATTTTGTGATTTAAGCTTGCACTTGGGACTCTTTATTTACTTGTGTCTCTTTTATGCTTGATAGAGATACACTGAGAAGCTCATGTTAAAAGTTTGTAATTAGGTAACAAGTAACCATGTTGGAACTTGCAAGAAAACTTCTATAGTGTCGTTTCTTGATTGTAAAAACCAAGATAGCTCATGTTTCTTGATAGAAAACTTTTACCATGTTTTTCGTGTTTTTTCAACCTGCTTCTCGTTATTTTCAAATGCTTTCTTATATGGATTTTCTCACAAACATTCACTTATAATGTTTCAGGTGTCATTTTTATTTGGAGTTATCCCGGTTATTTTTTCTTGGTTATATGCTGAGTGGTTAGAGTACAAGAAGTCCGCCCCCCTCTCGAAAGTGTAAGTCGCTTACTCAACAGTCAATATGAAGACTTTCATTTATGCAAGCATATGCTACTGATTGAGTGCTTTCCTTTTTTCCTTATGGATAATATAGTTGAAGATTAGAAAGATACGGGAACGTTACATGATGGTGTAGTAGACTAAGCAATCGAGAAAGTTATGTGTTGATGAAACTGTAACAACAAATGAAATTATTTGACACTCGCAAAGCCACAAAATTGCAAGAAATACGTACAAAGTATTCTCTATCTATTTATATATTTATTATTTTCTTTTTAAAATTTGTGATAAGTTGAAAGAATTCACATAGTCCAGCATCCGCCACAACTTAAGGTAATGTATCTTGAAATTTCATATTGTCCTTGATGGTCTCATTATGAAATTCATACTTGTAAGGATAAATTATTTCCTTACACAGCCTCATACCAATGAAAATGTACTGTGCTACTACTTATAATAGTGTGCAACTTTAGGTTTATATTATTTGTCTTTTGTGGGATGCAGCCATTCTGACAGTAACCTGGCTGAGTTGGGAAATGAAACAATCAATGAAGAAGACCGAGCTATATTGCTGGAAGGAGGTCTCTCAAAATCTGCATCCATGAAATTACCAACTTCATCATTAAAAACGAACCTAGTTAGGTAGTATGAAATTGATGGAAGGAGGTTATAGCCTTTGGTTTTTGAATATTGTTTTAGTCTTTTGCCCTATATGGTTTTAGGTTCCTAACAATGGAGGATTCATTCTTGCTCGAAAATCGAACAACTCTAAGAGCAATGTAAGCTATGTATCATTTGTTTGAGTTGTTTCATAATTTCTCAACCATTCATTTACATTTGATCTTACAATGTTATGTAGGTCTGAAATTGGGGCAATCCTATTCTATTTTTACATCTGCGACCGAACAAATCTGTTTGCTGATTCTACTAAGGTGCTTAGTTTTATTGGTGCTAAAATTTCATTCATGGTTTCACCTGTTTAGATCATTTGGCATGCTGATGACAATTCACTGATATTAGAAGCATCATATATGTGCAAATTCTCCTCACAATTTTGTATGTTACAAAAGAATCCTTAAATGTGCAAATTTAAAAGCTTTACAATTAGACCCCCTGATAATTCACTGATATTTTCATTGCACTTAACCTGACAAGACTCTTATAGTACAACTTTTTATTTTACAAAAGAACTTAAATGTGCGAATTCAAGAGCTTTGCAATTAGCCCCCTTGAAATTAGGAATTAATAATGTAATTCGTTAATGTCTTTTTTACATGTTTATCAGTAGTATACTAGTATTATATCAGATGTGAGCTTTTTTATTTTGTTGCAGTCCCTTTTGGGTATCTTTGACTTTTTACCTATATTAGAAGTGTAGGCATGTAGCCACATGTAATCTTGTTAAATTTGTTTTTTCTTCTTTTATTGTTGTCTTGCATTTAACTTGTAAGGTTCCGTTCAGTAGAATGGTAAAGTGAGATTATTATCCCGGCAGAACTAGTCATTACCATGATTGATTACACGTGTTACCTGCATCCATGAGTGTAACAAGTTTCCCGTCTTCTTGTTTTCCTTGAACAGAATTACAGCCGTGATCTCTTCCTCTTCCTGTTTATTCTTCTCATCATTGTTTCCTCAATGACTTCTCTCAAGAAACACAATGACAAGTCAGCCTTTTCTGGGAAATCATTACTTTACCTGAATCGCCATCAAACAGAAGAATGGAAAGGATGGATGCAGGTAGGTTTTATTTGCATATGTGTTTCCTGTTGTACTGTAGTGCTTTTGGAAATCGAAATGCTGTTTTGTTTGTACTCTTTTGACCATCTCTCTGTGTGTGTGCAGTGTGTGTGTGCATACTAATAT